AGTGGAGTGTGAGTGAGGGACCTCAATTGTGGGAACACCAACCTGCTTGTCAGACTCTGAAACCTCAGGATATGTCTTGGGAAAGCACAGCTGCCATGCCACAGTGATTGGCAGCATGGTGTTTTTGCTCCTAGAAGGCTCGGGGCAGATGTGCGAAGATAAAAAGAACAACACAAAGTAGTTTCTTCGCCGCTCTGTGTCCAAGCTATCTGCTCTTGAAGATTGGTCCGTTCTTGGGACCTCCCACCTTTGGACTTAATTCCAAGTTGCAACATACTTTTCCCAGTGGCCAAGTGGGGAAAAAAACCCTTTCCTTTAATTGAAATCCACCCTGGAACCGGTCACAGAGAGAGCTCACCCAAACCCGAGCCAGCCTCCATGGGGCGCTTTGGCTCAGGGTCCTGATGGCAGAAGCAGAACGCCCCCGGTTGCCTCTTGGATCAATCCGTAGATTGGGGAGGGGAGGGGTAACCACCTAGATATATACATATATGAGCCTCGGAAGCTATTTGCTACATAGTGGAATTTCCGGGCGTTCCCACCTCATTCTCCAACCCTTCACTAGTTCCTAGTTGGGATCCGTTGACCTCGTTTTCCAATGCAGCATGTGTTTGCGATCTCAACCACCCAATTTTGCTATGGCTCGTTTTGGGGTGTGTTTCTGCGTCGTGTTGCACCTAATTCAGTATGTTACCCCAAGCAGATGTTCACACAGCCTTTGCAGTAGCCTTTTACATAGATATATATATATATATAGATAGGCAGTTGCGCATATGTATGCTGCCCCTTTCCTGGCGGTACTCAGGGTATGGCCTTTGCCTTGATTCAGATTGTCTGCCAGACGTCAAAGGTTCCTGTTTGACAAAGGCAAGACTGGGAATGGATTGCAGTGCAGCCAAAGGCTAGAGCAGGAACTTACTAGGAAACTGGTAAACAAACGCATGCGCACAACGGCATACATGCCACATACGCATCTTAATGACTTGATACAAATGCCAAAGGTGAATTCCACATTTAAACCATGGTTTGTTCCCTGGCATGATGCTCCCAGCAAATGGTACTGGAAGTGAGCACAGCAATGCCCTCCACGTTGGCAAAATGAACCTAGGTCAATGTCGATACACATCAACTGGTGTTGGCAACATTGGCACCGTCTTCCTTTCAAAGTGCATGACTTGCAAAAGGCATTTCTGCAGAATGCGAAACTTCTGAGACTTCTTTGCTGAGTTGGAAGCGGCCCCTTCTATGGCCTCAACAAGGAGCACCAAAAGAAATGCTGCCCAACACCCCAGGAGCATGGGAAATGCAGAGTGGTCACCCTTATGTTCGAGTTTCGTCGGGCGCAACGTTTCAGCCTTGATTGAAAGACATCAAATATATTTTTGAGGTGAAGAGGGTGCTTTCAAGCGATTTACAGCAATGCTGGATTCCAGATTCAAGCTTCTCACACTCGAACTTTGAATCTCGAGCCCAGTACTCCAGTACTCCTCCAGGTCAAGACGCGCTTTAGAGAAGTTGTGGATGCAAGGCTCAAGATTCGAAGGACTCAACTCTCAGCTTGCATCCTGAAACATGGGAATCCAAATGAAGAAGAGGATGCTCATGCCAGTAGTTGTCTTTTCCCTTTCTTTTGTGAGGCCGTGCAGAGAAGTGATATGTGCTAGCATGTGCCAGCACATCTTAGCACCCATCTTGGCACTAAGGATGTTGAACCGCATGGAACTCAAAACGCAGTGGTTTATTCACAGGGGTATCACATATTTATTGACATACATATTATGTGTATACATATATATGCACGTGTATATGTACGTTGATACACATGCATGTATCGCCAAATCACTGTTGTCCCACTTGTAATCATGCCTCGGAGACAAGACTGGCATCACCTGAACTGGTTTGCAACAGCAAGCTGGCATGAGCTACCAATGGCATGCCAGTCCTTGCTTAAGCACAGTTGACAGCCTGGCTGTCAGGTGGAATTGTTGCTTGCATTTCGGTCAGATTTATGCTGGTGGGCCGAGTGTCTAGCATGAGTCTGGTTGGTGCCAGGTCAGGCGTCTTAGATGCTGGGGTTTGCGGCGCTTCAGAACCAGAGCCCCATGGAAATCCCGACGAGTCTCTTCAAACAGCCCAAGCCTCACACAACCTTCCAACACCAAATTAATCCAAATACAGCCAAGAATGTTGATTTGAGACAGCCCCCTGTTAAGCCGAAGCTTACCAAAAGCTCCAAGCCCAGAAGCAAAGCCATTGAATGCCCAGACTGTGCTCTTTCCGCTCGCAACTTGAGCCCTGCACGGCCCCAGCGAGACAAAGTCCCCCGTGCCCACAGCGCCTGGCGTGCTGCTGCGATATGCGACAGTGTGGTCTGGAACAGGCCCGTGTCCCCAGCAGCCAAACAAATGCAACCGAAAGTGAGTGACCCATTCGTGGATCTCACCTTAAACCACTTGACGAAAAAAGCTCCTTCCTCCAAAACTTCCCCCTCCCCCCCCCCACTCAATTCAGCTTGCGTTTAAACGGCGTTCCCAGAAACGAGTTCTGATCTATGGGAAGTACCCTTGAAGTCGAAATCTTACGCGGGAAGGCATCTCATACACGACCCTTTACAGCACACACTCCAAAAATACAGGGGACAAGCAATATGAAGCTCGGATTGAGAGGCAAAGTTCATTCAGATTGCCCGGTCAGTTGTCAAAAAAGATAGGAACTGCAGAAACTGCCTATGGTTCCTGAACATGCAAATGATACTTCTGTATCATCTGCACAACCGGCCCCCTTTGTGAGATCGCCATCATTTGGACAAACCGGCCAAGGATTGATGTGCACACACACAGAGTAGTTGGCATGGTTGGGCCACACAAATTGGCTTGAGACATCCAATGTCTGCTAAAAAGTCGATGCCCCTCTGGTGTGGTTTGCACCATATTAGCTGTTTTTTGTAGTAGCCTATCAACTTCTAGCATGTCTTGCGCAGGGTTCCATTTTTTTGACTGCCCCAAGATACATAAGACCCAGGAATGGGTTCTCCTTGTGGGGGGAATGAACGACCTTGGTTAAAGTCCCCTGTCAAAAAGGGGAACCCTGGAGTCTTGCATATGGACCGGGTCCCTTCGTTACAGGCCGTTTGTTCCGATTCGAACCTGAAGCACCGAGCTCGGCGTCCAGCCAGACAGCACCGCCCACGTCGAAGCCCTGCGTCGGAAATCTTCAGACGCGCCAAAGTCACTGCGTGTCACGGCCCTTTGACTGAAATAGATTGAGTACCCTCCGCACATAGTGGGAGGGTACTTGGAAGATCACTTTCCACTTGGAGGGACCCTCTGCCAGGTGCCATGTTAGTGGGAGGGTGGGTACATAAGTCAGTATCTCCCTTGGCTGTCTATGGGGAAAAGAGTGGACTCCGCTTTTGTTTTGTTGGCAGGGGAGTAGCTGATCAGAGTGGCCTACGGACGAAAGCAAGAGCAAAGCAAACCCGCGCCTTCTCGCAAGCATAGGAAAACTCGCGGAAGTTGATGAAATTCTTCCTGAGCCAAAAAATGCGAGAGGTACGCCAAGCTGACGCCAAATTGTGGCGCAGTTCGTGGGATCAGGAACCAAAACGTCTCACTGATGGACCTTTGGTTAAGGCTTGAGACGCGAGGCTATCGGCAAAAAATTGCTAGGACGTGGCAAAATTGTCTGGAGCAACCATGTCCCTCTCGATTCGCCAACTGCCAATCTTACTCTCAGTTGCTGGTATGCTTCAAAGCATCAGTCACCCAGGTCCATACAAACTCGTGACTCTACAGTCATGCCGGCAACACTTGCTCGACGCGCAATCCAACACTTGGATATCTATGCACCTGCAACGTGCTGACGCCAGAACCTAGAGCAGCGTCGCGCGCTGGCAGGTTTCTCCAAAGAAGCTCTTCCGTGGTTCAGCTGACAGTTGGTGCTACGATTCCAAACATTGCCCGCTGTCCCTGCAAATGTGTTTGCGAACTGAGCAAGTGTTTGCACAACAGGGTCTACACTCCATTCGGATAGCTGATTACATGGGACCAGGGATAGGGACCAAGCACGTAGCCCCCTAAGATTCGCAGACCATAAATGCTCATGGCTTGGAACGTGTTGGCGCCAAGACTCGTCACGTCCGTCACCTATACCAGAGAATTCCAACACACCATTCTTGGAGGCCAGAATCACAGGTGAGGCTGAGTGAGAAAGACATCCTTTTCTCCAAATCTCCAAAATTGCAGGCGGCAAACCCTGGGCCTCGGAAAGTAACACTCAAAACACAACCTATGCAAAGGAAGCTCTTTCCGATCTTTCTGGAGGACTCCTTCAAGTTGTCCAAAGAGTAACTTCCCAACTCCTTGTAGGCTGCCCTCCCACCAAGCAACATGGAACCTGACAAAGAAAATGGTCTTCCAGGACCCCCCTGTCAGGCTCCATCTGAATTGGTGAGAGGGTAGCGTTTCTTAGCCCTAAAAGTGAACTTGCGAGCGCGCCCCAGGGGCCCTGGCAGCACATCCAGGAAGACACTCACTGAGCTCCCAGTCGGCAGGTCCTCAGCGAAGCGCAGTGGTCGACAAGGACAACGGGGACTACCCTCTCACCAAACGCGGAAGTGGACAAGGGGCCTTTGTATGGTAGTCGTCCCAACCCGTGTCCACTTCCATGATTGTACAAGGTTTTTGGACCTTGTATGTCCCCGTTAAACATCGTTACACATCACTCCGAGGAAATTTGGCCCAAAGGGTAACGTAAAAACCACCCAAACCGAGAAATCTAAGGATGCTTGTGGCAATAAGCCTTTCTCGGATACTGACTGCTTGAGTCACATCCAACCATGACGAATGACTGAGCCTTGTTTTGACAAGGAGATTTCTAGTACCACTCTTTGCAGGTCGAAGTAATCCTTCGGCCAGGTCCTACTTTCCAAAGACAGGAACCCTCACTTGCAGGGTTCAGCTTGTCCAGGAAAAGCGATCTGACAATCATCTATAAATGAATATGGAATTGCTACCAAGGGGGGTGATGTTCAACGAGCACGTGTTCCGCTCGCGGCCGGCCCGGCAATTACCTAACGGCAACTAGTGGCTCACATGCCAGGAAACGCCTCCAAATCAAAGGCAACGCCGGTTGCCACTGGGCTGCTGGGACAAGCTCGTACCTGCCGTACGCATGGCTGTGATGATGTGTGGGCCAAACATCTAAGACTACAAACAAACCTTCCCAGGTTGTTGTCTTATACGAGTGTGCTTCAAAACTACAAGGCTTGTCACGCCAACATGGTGATTCGGTGATTCGGGCATATATTGCAGGATCCCTTCACCCCTCACTCGACTCCCAGGGACGGTACCACAGACAGCGAAAAGTCGGTGGGCGAGCGCACACCGTCGGAGGCTGTGAACCTCGCGACGAGGCGCATGTAACGTCGCGCGTGAAACAACGCAGAAATCCAGAAAGCCCCAGTTGTTCCGTACACAAGTTCGCATGTCAACTACATTTGGGTATGGACTCATTCAATGAACATGATCCAATTCAAGTGCCCCATTTCAATCATCTTGGATCATGTTCCAGAAGACATGATCCAGATGAACATGAACCATCTTCGCAAATCCAAGCAATTCAAGTGCTGGGCTCCCGCACTGCACTCCCAAGCGCCTTAGCGCTTCTCCTCCCAGGAGCTCCACCTGGTTTGAGGCTCGGTTCTTGGTTTCTGTCGCGTTTTACATAAAACCAAAAAGAGAAAAACAACCTAGACCGTGGTTCGGTTCTTACTCGTGAGTGTAACCCGAAAAGACCAACCAGCCGGCCACAAGGTTGGGGTTGGGATTGTACCCAAATCGCTGGGGGTCGAATAGAGGTTTGGCATTGGCCAAAAATAATGTTCAATGATTGCCGTTGTTGGAGGTGTCGTTTCGCGGATTGCCCATTTGAGACCCTGTCGCAGTCAGGTTTTTCTAGGTGTCAATTCGATCCCAGTGATTTGGGTACAATCCCAACCCCAGCCTTGTGGCCAGCTATTTTTCAGGTTAAACTTCTAGGGGTATCGAATTCCCGTACAGTCCACGGAGGGCTTTGTCATTTAGCCCATGCCGTCTCCCTTTCCGCGACGGAAGGGGACGGTCGGATTCGGCACAAGTGTCGCTTCGAGCCAGGGTTTGGAGTGAGACCACCAGGGTGCAAGGATGCACACCAAGGAAGAATGGGCACTCAAGCGGGTGTGTTTCATTGAGGGTTTCAAGATGGATTCGGGGGTGTTCTTTTTGAGTTGGTACCTGGTTTTGATTGTTTTAGAGGGATTGAAACCAACTGAAAATCAGGCCCGAACTCCGGGTTCTCCTATTTGGCCGGGATCCCAAGTGCCGTTGCATCAAAATTAGGCCCACCCGACCCCCCTCAAATGATTGTTTGCTTGTGTGGAGCATCCAAAAGTGGGGAACTTTAAAGCTGAGAGTTGAGTGCAGGTTCAAAAAAGAGGTGTGACAACATTTGTCTAAAAGCCCAGTCGCAGAAACGGATTCACAACCAAAGTTGAACAAGGGCCAACTTAATTTTGACCAACTGTCACACAAACCTCTTTTCCCTTTAATGTTCTTGTACGGACTTCCACACCACTTGCTCACATCCACTCACCCTCTTCCACCTTGCAAATCAGACAAGCTGAGGCCAAGGATATCCGAAGGATCTGTGGAAATTGACAGGGATGACTGGATTTCCTCTATACCTTTCATGACTGCTTTCCTCTTACATTCTATGCTGCGCCGGGGCAAGGCCAACCGATCTATTTTAGTCTCGCGTTGCGACGAAGAGAACAGCCACAAGGATCAAGGGGCGTTACTCCAAGAAAGAAACACAACACAAACCAGCACACACACACACACACACACACACACCCTTCGTTAAGATCGAATCGGGTGCTCCAGTGCTCCCGTCTTTCGGCAGTCTTTTTGTGCCCGGTTTGAGCCCTCCCCGCTACAGCAGCACCACATTACAACCTCAGCTGCTCTTGCACCTGGCTGCTGTCTCCGCCGGCTTTTGGATCACCCCAGGTCACAACAGCCCCAGATTCAAGAATGGCAGCAAAAGCACCATGATTGGCTTGGATGTGCTGGACGTTTCTCAGCTGCTCTTGCACCTGGCTGCTGTCTCCGCCGGCTGCTGCACGACCCCAGGTCACAACAGCCCCAGATTCAAGAATGGCAGCAAAAGCACACCAAGTTGCTTGGATGTGCTGGACGTTCCTCAGCTGCTCTTGCACCTGGCTGCTGTCTCCGCCGGCTTTTGGATCACCCCAGGTCACAACAGCCCCAGATTCAAGAATGGCAGCAAAAGCACCATGATTGGCTTGGATGTGCTGGACGTTCCTCAGCTGCTCTTGCACCTGGCTGCTGTCTCCGCCGGCTGCTGCACGACCCCAGGTCACAACAGCCCCAGATTCAAGAATGGCAGCAAAAGCACACCAAGTTGCTTGGATGTGCTGGACGTTCCTCAGCTGCTCTTGCACCTGGCTGCTGTCTCCGCCGGCTTTTGGATCACCCCAGGTCACAACAGCCCCAGATTCAAGAATGGCAGCAAAAGCACCATCATTGGCTTGGATGTGCTGGACGTTCCTCAGCTGCTCTTGCACCTGGCTGCTGTCTCCGCCGGCTTTTGGATCACCCCAGGTCACAACAGCCCCAGATTCAAGAATGGCAGCAAAAGCACACCAAGTTGCTTGGATGTGCTGGACGTTCCTCAGCTGCTCTTGCACCTGGCTGCTGTCTCCGCCCAATTTTGGATGGCCCCAGGTCACAACAGCCCCAGATTCAAGAATGGCAGCAAAAGCACCATCATTGGCTTGGATGTGCTGGACGTTCCTCAGCTGCTCTTGCACCTGGCTGCTGTCTCCGCCGGCTGCTGCACGACCCCAGGTCACAACAGCCCCAGATTCAAAACAGCCCCAGATTCAAGAATGGCAGCAAAAGCACCAACATTGGCTTGGATGTGCTGGACGTTCCTCAGCTGCTCTTGCACCTGGCTGCTGTCTCCGCCGGCTTTTGGATCACCCCAGGTCACAACAGCGCCAGATTCAAGAATGGCAGCAAAAGCACCATCATTGGCTTGGATGTGCTGGACGTTCCTCAGCTGCTCTTGCACCTGGCTGCTGTCTCCGCCGGCTTTTGGATCACCCCAGGTCACAACAGCCCCAGATTCAAGAATGGCAGCAAAAGCACCATCATTGGCTTGGATGTGCTGGACGTTCCTCAGCTGCTCTTGCACCTGGCTGCTGTCTCCGCCGGCTGCTGCACGACCCCAGGTCACAACAGCCCCAGATTCAAGAATGGCAGCAAAAGCACACCAAGTTGCTTGGATGTGCTGGACGTTCCTCAGCTGCTCTTGCACCTGGCTGCTGTCTCCGCCGGCTTTTGGATCACCCCAGGTCACAACAGCCCCAGATTCAAGAATGGCAGCAAAAGCACCAACATTGGCTTGGATGTGCTGGACGTTCCTCAGCTGCTCTTGCACCTGGCTGCTGTCTCCGCCGGCTTTTGGATCACCCCAGGTCACAACAGCCCCAGATTCAAGAATGGCAGCAAAAGCACCATCATTGGCTTGGATGTGCTGGACGTTTCTCAGCTGCTCTTGCACCTGGCTGCTGTCTCCGCCGCAGCCTGCATCGCCCCAGGTCACAACAGCCCCAGATTCAAGAATGGCAGCAAAAGCACACCAAGTTGCTTGGATGTGCTGGACGTTCCTCAGCTGCTCTTGCACCTGGCTGCTGTCTCCGCCCAATTTTGGATGGCCCCAGGTCACAACAGCCCCAGATTCAAGAATGGCAGCAAAAGCACCAACATTGGCTTGGATGTGCTGGACGTTCCTCAGCTGCTCTTGCACCTGGCTGCTGTCTCCGCCGGCTTTTGGATCACCCCAGGTCACAACAGCCCCAGATTCAAGAATGGCAGCAAAAGCACCATCATTGGCTTGCATGTGCTGGACGTTTCTCAGCTGCTCTTGCACCTGGCTGCTGTCTCCGCCGACTTTTGGATCACCCCAGGTTGCAACAGCCCCAGATTCAAGAATGGCAGCAAAAGCACACCAAGTTGCTTGGATGTGCTTCACGTTCCTCAGCTGCTCTTGCACCTGGCTGCTGTCTCCGCCATTGTCTGGACTACCCCAGGTAACAGCCTCGTGGGCATGCCAAGCGAATGCCCTGTTTGTGGAAGACAGTTTGGGAAGCTGCACAACTGCATCCACCACATCCCCATCTCGCAACCCAGCCTCATCTAGTGTGGATGTCAAATCGAGCGGCTGGCCGTTCGCAGTCAGCTTCAAGTGGCGCTGGAAATGCTGTTGCGCTGCAGCCCTCAGCTCGCTGATGGGCGTCGCCAGTGAGACTGCTATGGAGCAGCCATCTCCGCTGGGCAAGTGAACATTCACCTTCATGGCGCCTTCGGAATGCTCTTTCCCGGACGCAAGTCGGAGACACAAACACATGTAACTCGGGGGCCCCTTGTTGAATCAACCGGTTCGGGTTATGCATTTGCCCAGCTCTGGGGGTACACCTGACAAATCAACAAATACATGTTCACATTCTGCTTCATATCCAGTCAAACTTTACACCATATGTCCTGCGACCCCAAATGTTGGCTGCGGCTTTCAGTGCACCCCTGCTCAACTCAAGGTGTTCCCGTACATTGCATCGGAGGCAAAGTCGGCTAAGGGGATGACTCTGCCGCTGTCAGACGAAAAGCATGGGCGTGTCTCTCTCTCTCTCTCTCTGTCTCTTTTTTTTGCCGGATTGGGACGCCCCCCCCAACATGTTTTTTTTTGTGATTGTGTGGTTTTCCAAACCAACTCCAAAATGGGGGGGACTCAAAAAAGGCCTGCGCCAAATGAAAAGGACATGGAGGAAACCCTGATTGAGGCCATTCAACCGGGACGAAACCATAGCCTTTCGACGACCCAGCGCCGAACCTCGCCATCTGCCGACGTCCACACCACCCGGACTGTATGCCACAGGGGCCTTGCGCATTGAATGAAGTTGCAGCGGGAAAACGGGCTGGCGGCTTGGAATTTCAGACGGCAGCAGGTTTAATCCAACACACACACACACACACACTTGAACTCCAGATGGAGAGTGCTAATCTTTCGAGTACAACTGATGAGTCTCGAGTACAACCGACAAGTCTCGAGTATGATGAGTTTCGGCTCTCAATGCACTTGGCTTCCCTCTAGTGTCGAACACGTTACGAGCAAGAACAAGAAGCACAAACAGCGCCGCAACCAAGGGGCCAAAAGGACTTTCAGAATCACTGAAGCAGGTACAGGTGTCCACGTCTGGACACCCTTCCCACCTTTGGCAACAGCTTCATTGCGTGCAGTATGCCAAAGGTGCTGCACGCCCCTGCTGCGAAACCGAAAGGGTGGTGACAGGGCATTCTGTCACTCCGCACACACACGCCCCTCTACGAGGGGCGAGGTTTCTCTTTTCTCCTGCAGGAAGATCACATGCTCAAACTCAAATCACTATCGTTGGCCAAAATATCCACCACGGCGAGGGGAGCGAGACACTGCCCTAAACCGCTCAGAAGACGGGAACGAAAGTTCACAACGTTGAGCATTACGAGTGTCGCCATAGAGGACTGAAGCGATCTGCGAAGCAGCCGGGCGATCACCATGAGAAAACGGAGTGGCATAGGTGAAGGTCTCCTCAACTTGAACGGCATCGGAGTTCCGACCTTGACCAAGAGTCTGATCATGTGAACAGTGAGTTGCGAAGGACTCAATCCGAGACAGAATGCGCTGGTACCCTTGGTGTTGCCAGTCACGGATGTCCCATGCCTGGACTGGCGCTTCGGGATCCGTCACCCGCTGCCATTCACGAAAAGAGTTTTCAGGTAGATCAGGTACGGCGTCACCACGGTGCCATCGTTGAGGTTGTCCCGGAGTGTAAATCCGCACCCACTCCTGATCATGCCAGACCGAATATTCGAGCCATGGATACTGCTTGGAATCATCGATGTCCATGTCGAGGCAAGAGGCAAGGATGGTCGCGGGCTCCGATCCAGCTAGTAGGTGGACAAGCACCATGCACAACCATGTTCAAACAACAGCAAAGCAAGATCATGCAAGTGTAGAGGTCACCCTTATTTTGTACGCTGCGCTGCTCATGCAAGGCTAGTCTTCAGTGAGCTCGAAGACGGGCCTCATCTTGTCTTGGCCGCTACCGGACGGATTCACAGGCGTGTAGGGGTCGGAGACCCCAATCGTCTCCGATGGTGTGTTGCCACGCGATGCACGTACTGGTTGATGAGGATGAGAGGTCAGACGTGCGCGGGCCGTCAGTTGTTGAGAAATCCCCTCCTGGAGACGAATCAGTTCCTCAGTGGAGAAATCAGCCGCATCCGAGGACCTGAGAATCGCGTCTAACAGCTCCGGCGACATACTCAACGACGCAGACTGCGTGGCCACGTTATGGTGATCGGAGGGATACATGGAATCAAATTCATGACCGGCGTGAGGAGCAGCGATTCTCCGATAGCCCTCCGTGGCCCAGTCTCGCTTGTACCACGTAGTGACTTGGACTTGCCCTTCAACTGAGTCCTGGTTGGGAGCATAGAACTCCCGCCATTCTCTGAAAGTATGCGGAGGAGGTGGAGCATCCTGTTCTTCCTGAGGCGTCCATGGTCCCGGATGAAAGATCTTGACCCGCTGGGCATCAGGTTGTTGAGGGTCCGGGCACCATTCCAGCCACGGCATGACAACGCAACCACGGTGTCAAGAGACGGCAAGGTGACGTCCCGTGGGACGCTATGCACCGAACCCTCAAGCTGTAATACCAACCACGTAGAAAGGTGTATACGGACGATGCCGTTATAGCCGAACCCGTGTAAACGTTGTAAGGGAGAAGGAATGATAGTTACAACAGTAGTCCTGACAAATGCAGCGCAAGCGAAGTGTTTTCGCTCTCAATGCCGATCACGTATGTATGCAGTCACACATCAGATCTTGAACCTCAATTGTGTCTTGAGCCAAATGGCGATCAATGGAACTTGGGAAGCAACACCAACAAGGACCTCAGAACAGCTACCCAATTTCGGCACGGGGCCTAGAGGGTTTTAACATCCCCCATTTGGGTCGCATTGTTCATCATGCGGTCCAAACACCACAAAACGTTCCACTGGCCACGGCTTCAACTACGAAATCGTGTCGTGCATTCTTTTACTTGCTATCACTACACCGTTCATTCGCTGTGAAACATGCCGGGTTCGATTGTACGAAAAGTGAAACATTCATCCTCCAATCGAAGCACGCATCCATATGCAGGTGTATATAATACACAATCGTCACGTCATTTGACCACCAATGAACAATCCAGCTGCCGCATTTGCGCATCGCGCAGCTGTCATCCATAAATGGGTTGGCCGAAAAAGTCCACCAGAGGCGCCTGCTCGCAATCGGTCTGCATATTTCCGGCAAAGAAACATCGGTGAGTAATCAATGCAAATCATAGCCATTCCAGATACCATGGACAATGCATAAATAATGAAAAGATATCATCTATAAGGTAATAGTTCCATCCATGAATATCCAGAGCGTCATAGTCATCGGAATATGTAACCATGTACACACCCAATCATCTTGGACACATGAATATAAATCATGACATAAGTCGTTCCACCGAAACAGTGTCGATGTGACGCAAGTAACAGATGGGGACTGACCCACATCGTACCGCAATCAGCATCTTCACGAAGCATACCTGTCCCCAATGGACAGCCTATGGGTACGTCGGCGGAACTCCTCGTCCAAGTTCTTCTGGGCTTCTCGTGCCCGGACACACTTCTTGTTGTAGTCCTCTGGCAACCAGTGCCCTTTCCGAAGGCACCAATCCAGCAGGGGTGTGTCGCATTTGTTCGGGTCGATGGCCGAGATGATGGCGCTCACGTTGACCGTGTAACCATTCTTGCCAAGGTTTAGGCCATCCCTCACGAATGATATATACTTACAGTTGAAAGCTAGTGCAAAACATCTGAAAATAATATCACCCACCGGGTGCACTCGGTCCTTGACCAGGAGCTTCATTTCTTCCTTGGTGACATCGAGGATTCTCGCTGCAATCCACAGCTTGTAGAATGTGTAAAGTCCCTCGCATTTGCACACCATCATACGAATATATTCGTCACGCTCCTCAACCGATCGGAAGGCTCTTGTCCGAACATTCTCCGATTGAGAAATCTTCGTTATTGTTGATGGCAAAAGTATACCTTCCTGATCATGCTCGGTGATGTTGGGGTACCTCTTGAAGTCATTGTGATAAGGGCAGCCCGGCCTCCCTTCGAGTCCGGCATTCATCGTTCTCTCCTCACCACCTTCAAACATCCCCCACATCTTGGACAGCTGGAGTGCGATAAATCCTGCCATGTACTGAGCCTCACGCGGCTCGTCAAGGCAGATCGCCATCCGTTGGGAACTTATAATGTCCCGTGACGCCAGATCGGTGTCGCGGTAATGCCAACCGCTGTCTTCTTCTTCTGACGCATAGCCGGATGTATATCCTTGCGTGTCCATGTCGTCATCTTCTCCCGGAACTTCCTCCGCTTCGTCTTCATCCTCCTGTGCTGCCGCATCGTGGTTAGCTTCTTCCTGTGCACGCCTGGCATCTCCAGAGACGTTGGGGTTTTGGTTGTCCTCCTCGTCATCGGATTTGATGTGAATGTAGTATCTTCCGATGGAGATCAGTTGTGCCTCGCACTCCAGGCATAAGCAGAAGCAGGTGGGGATCGCGGTTGCACATGATGGACATATCCGGCACCTCAGTCCTTCCCATGTCTCGTCATTCAGGATGACGACTTTGCTGATTTCGTCCCGGACCTCGTTGACCTGTGCATTGAACTCTTCCATCTTGTTGATTCGATAGAGTTCGCAGGCACGATTAACCATGTCAACGATGTAGTGCAGATTATCGGCACCCGTCTCAGTCTCCGGCATCCTCTCGCTGATCTTTGCGACGTTCTGGAGGAACATCGCAGCCGACTCTTGGGAAGAGTTGACAAAGCCAGGGCAGATCTCGTTCTCCACACACTTCGAGTACGCCCTCTTGATGTCAGCGTACTCCAGGCGCTTCCCTCCGTTGCTTTTGCCAATCCAAATGGACTTGACCTCATAGAACGGGATCACGTCAAAGACCATGAAAGTCCCATTAGCCGCGACTCCAGCCCCATACCGCGCGAGGGTTGCACTGGGAATATAGATGATCGCAATCGGATCCCCTCTCCTCACGTTCCGTAGCGTTGTCTTCGTCGCCACGTTCATCTCATCCCATGGAGCAAACGCCCCGAAGTGCAGTGCTAGCCTGTTGCCGCCATCGATTCCGCCGGGGACTAACCCACAGCGTACGATGCTTGGCAGGTTTTCCACATACGTCACATGGAATGCTCCTCCGAGAGAATCACCCATTCTTGCGGAATACCTATTCGCCAGTGCGGATGAGCTCATGAATCCAAAATCACTGTGACCGGTTGTGACTCGGATGCACCAAGGTCTGTACCATCCATCGCATCTGTTGAACATCCTGTCGATGTCGTCCCGATCCACGCCAGCTTCGGTCATTTCCTCCCTGGCTGCCCTCGTGTCGTTCGGGTTCATGATGCTCGGAAACCTTGCTGCCAAAACCTGGAATCTCGATTTTCTGCTTCCGGATTCCTGCCACTTGATCACCTCCATGATGCCCATGTATCGTTTCGCTCTCGTGGTGTATGGTGGGAATATGTCGTTGTTCCGGTCGTCAATGACAGCATCAATGTCGACCCATCCACCCTCGTCGCACCTGAAAGCACTTCCTCGGCAATTGCCGATCTTGTGTCGAAGGACTCTGCATAGGTCGTGAGATAGCTGGTTTGCTTGGTCCCTTGTAGTAAATACCGAGCGATCATCACCAATCCTGCATAGTGGAGCACCGTCGAAAGGAGCAATGCAGAAGTTGACACTCTTGCCAAGTTGCATCACGTCCACTTGCTCAAG